TCTATAATCATGTAATTCAACCCACTGAATTTTTGTGCTAATGTTTTTTTCAGTCTAATTTATAGAATTTTATTTTATTTTATTTTTGAGTTGGAGTCTCACTTTGTCGCCCAGACTGGAGTGCAGTGGTCGCTCCTGGCCACCGCAGCCTCAACCTGCTGGGCTCTGGTGATCCTTCCGCCTCAGCCTTCCGAGTAGCCAGAATTACAGGCATGCACTACTATGCCCGGCTAATTTTTGATTTATTGTAGAGATGAGGTCTCGCCAAGTTGCCCAGGCGGGTCTCGAACCCGTGGGCTCAGGCAATCTACTCACCTCAGCCTTCTAAGGCGTGAGATTACAGGCTGAGCCACTGAGCCTGGCAATTTATAGCATTTTAAAGGTTAACAGCTTGTCTTGTCCCTGATTCATGCCTGTTTTTCATAAGGGGGGGATAAAGCTCATAATCAGATTATAGCTAATAGGTAATTTATTTTTAATTTAGTTGAACATTTAACATTCATATTTCATTCTATTTAAAAATATTTATGCCTGCTAGTTATTTTTGAACAAGTATTTTTTGGTGATTTTTTGTTGATGTTTTTGAGTTGGAGTCTCACTTGGTCGCCCAGACTGGAGTGCAGTGGCCGCTCCTGGCCACTGCAGCCTCGCCTGCTGGGCTCCGGCGATCCTTCCGTCTCAGCCTTCCGAGTAGCCAGAATTACAGGAATGCGCTACCATGCCCGGCTGATTTTTTGATTTATTGTAGAGATGAGGTCTCGCTGCCCAGGCGGGTCTCGAACCCGCGGACTCAGGCAGTCCACTCACCTCAGCCTCCCAAAGGCGCGGGATTACAGGCTGAGCCACCAAGCCCGGCTGGTGATTATTTTTTAAATAGGTAATAGGTTCAGTTGACTTCAAATTCAAAAGATGGAAGATACCAATAATAATATAACAACAGTTAGCTAGTCCTATGTAGTATTGATGTGTGCCAGACATTCTTTTAAGCAATTTTTGCTGCCTTAACTTAATCTTCACCAGGGCGATGTTGTAGTTACTACTGTTATCCTTATTTTGTGAATGAGTGAACTGAAGCATGAGAGGTATGCCTGAACATGAAACTGGCCTGGGTTTTCTCTTTTGACAAGTCAAATGTCACAGCCTATGGAAAGCTGTTTATGAACACAATTCTCTTTTCTCAGTGGGGTTCAGTGCTTACCCTACAACTAGGCATTTTTCTTTCATTACACTTATTACAACTTTCACTCATTCCCTTCATGGACTATAAACTTCCTTAAGATAGGTACCCTGTCTTATGCTTTTGTGCCAACCCAAGACTTACAAAATTTCTGGCATACCCTAGGTACTTAATAAATACTACTGCAGGACTAATTTCCTATTTTATTCTATTTTATTTTATTTATTTGAGTTGTAGTCTCCCGTTGTCACCCAGGCTGGATTGCAGTGGTATGCTCACAGCTACCACAGCCTCAACCAGGTGGGCTCAGGTCCACCTTAGCCTTCCAAGTAGCTGAAACCAATGGCACACGCCACCATGCCTGGCTAATTTTTTACTCAAGCTTAAAATGGCACAGTGTTATCATGCATTAAGAGTGACTACAGGAATGAGATAATTCTATAGTAAAATTTGGTAGGATTTACTGGATTTTAGGTCTCATCGTGTTGCCCAGACTGGTCTCAAACCCCTGGACTCAGGCATTCCTCTCACCTACACCTCCCAAAGTACTGGGATTATAGGCATGAGTCACCACGCCTGGCCAATTTTCTCATTTTCAAAATGGATATGTCTGCTCTGCTTAGTTCAGATAATTATTTAGAAAATCAAATGAGAGTTCATAACTGCTTGTAAATCTCAGAGCACTATACAAACAGATATTAAACTAATTATGGAATGCACTGTATATGCCCAATGGAGGTGGATGCTCTTAAAACCTCTAGACATTAGCACAGGAGTAGACACACAGGACAAGAAGGACATTGAGAATCCAATGTGCTATTGTATTCTGGGCTGCTTATTTTAAACCAGTAGTCTTAATGATTTCAAATGGTGTATGTATATTCTGATTGCACACTTTTTTCATTCTACAGACGGTAGAGAGAAGTATTTGTGTTCTGATATTTAAATATTGTATACTCATACTATCAATTCTGTAACTGGGTCTGCTATCTAAATCAACATTTCTCAGTATTGGCCACACATGAGAATCATGGGGTTATACTTTTGTTTTGATAAATTGAAGATTCTTAGGTTCTTTCCCCAGATTCATGGGGTCAGATTTTCAGGGTGGGTGGGAAGGATTTTGGTAATTTTGTTAACGATCTAAGAATGAGAATGTTCAATGTTCTAAATACTGTCTGAACGAAATGGCTTAATGTCACCAAATATATATATATAGAAAACACAGTTATTTCATATTTAATAGCTCTCAAGAGCACTGACATTTATTTTGTTACTCTGGTGAATATTTTACAGTCATTTTTGTGCTGGTGAGTTCTGTGGATACTCTAATGACTCAAAACCATATGGCCCTGGCAAGCAGCTGATAGATGAATTTCACTGTTTCAGACTAAACAAAACAAAACAAAAAAACTTGTCTTTGTCTTGCTTGGGAGAAACTTGAGGGGTTGAACTGGACTTTACTTATTTTAACCAAAGTTACAGCTTTACATGTAGGTATTTCATGTCTTGCTTGTGGAGAAGAGGGGCTGTCTTATTTCGGCAGGAACCTTGATGAAGCTCATTCGTTTCCATAAAAGGTTGTGATTCTTACCATCTGTTGGTAGGATGGCCAGGGTATCATGTGCCTCTCCCCTAGTAACATGTAGAACTTTCAGGCCAGACCCTCGTCAGAAATGTAACCCCAAGTAATCTGATATCCAGCTCTTGTCAAAGGCCTCATTATGGAGAACTGAAGGAAGGACATGCCATCCAAGTATTTTATTCTAGAATTTGTCCCTGTATTGAGATAAACCATCAGAAAACTGTTTTTAAAATGTCTTGCTACTTCTACCTTATTTTCTCTCCTAAGAAGGAGAGCTTCATTTCTTCCATCACATGCACTGGGAGTTTATCCAACAGTTACATTATCCAGCAGTAGCACTGGTATGGATAATTGGGAATTTGTTTTTTAATTTCATAAGTAAGTACAATCATGTGCTGATATGCTGAAACTTATTAAAATGTGGCAGATTGGAAAAGTCTGATTTTCCCTCTTTCCATATAGATCATGTTAAGTAGTATTTCTCATTAAGTGGGCTCACGACACAAAGTCGAAGGTTATCACTGCTGCTCTAATGATTTTGCAGCACTCAGCATCTTTTATATGACTGATTCTCAGTTTCTGGCTTGTTTTTCCTAATAAAATGAGTCCTTGGTTCTTTCATCAGAAAAACGTAGTATTCAATTATTATTTATTTTCTGAATTAATCCATTCCTTATTCTAATGAAAAATCTGATACATTAAAATGAAGTAAGAGGTTTTTCCACAATGTGATTACAAACTGTGGATAACCTTACAGATGGGGGGAGATTTGCTATAATATTATTTATTTCATTTACTTTATCAGCCAGGGATGCATTAATATGAAGTGATTAAAAACCTGAAAGATAGCTTAAATAGATAGAGATTTGTTTGAACAAGTCCTTAGGTGTAGGGTGTAGAGAATTGGTGCTACCAAGGAGCAGTGATTCTTTTCTATTTTTTCCCTCACCGTGGCACCCTTAGAACATGAGAATTTTTCCTCAGTCTTTTCTCTTCCAGCAGTCTAAAGTTCTAAAATGATTTCTGTCTTTTAGATGTTATTTCCCAGGAAAATGGAAAAATAAGGGTGAGAGGCTTTCTTCTTCTAAGGTTTTTCTGCCTTTCCCCCTCCTTTCCACCAAGAGTTACTTATGTTGTATTAACCAAAACTACAACATATGGCCACTCCTAAATGTAGGAGAGATGGGGAAAATAGAACTTTTACTTTTAGTAGGAAAGACAGTGAAGAAGCTTGTGAGTTGCTTCTTTCATAGCCCCTGCCAAATGTCCTTATTGAAAATGGACCATTATTTTTGTAGTTTGCCTTTAGTATGAATAATTTTCCCTAGTCATAATTTAATTTAGGAATTTAGGGCATATGTAATCTGAGTTTGTACACATGGGTGCTTCACCTTCTAAGGTACAGCTTATGTTTTGTAAAGTTTTGAGATTATTTATTTGATAAGTCAAATTCTGAACCCCACGTGGGTAGTTGAGATATTGCAAATTTTAATGCTTTTAGAATCTGACTGTCTTGTAGCCTGTTAAACAATTTCTAATTTTCATGAGACAAAATGAAGATGTTGAACAAATGGCAGTTATTATTAACATTAGAGGAACTTTTAAAGAATCTGATTGAAGGGAAAGGAAAATAATAAAATATTGGGAATGAGATAAAATTGTGTACTTCATAAAACAAGTAATGCTTTGTTTGAGAGCAAATGAAGAGAAAAATACTGTGACACAGCTGAGGTAATCCAAGACAGTAAATAAGATCAATCAGATCTTTTCTACCAGGTACAACTAACTGCAATTTTCGTGGAACCTTATTTCTTTGAGACTCAGTTTCCCCATCTTTTAATATAAATAGTAATTATGCTAACCTCACAATGTCATTAGATTCTTCTACCGAGGAAACTGCTTGACACATAGTTAGGGTCAGTTAACTGTTAGTTTTCTTTACTGAATGGATAAAGGTGAATATAAGGCCTACTTCCAAAAACCAAGTATATGTTGTTCAGTCTCTGTGGCCTAGTCAATTTATCTTTCATGTGAAAGAAACATAAAGCTTTTTCAATAGTCCGACTGTCAAACTTAAAATGGCACAGTGTTATGCATTAAGAGTGTCTACTGGTGTGAGATAGTTCTGTAATGAAATTTGGTAGGATTTATTGGATTTTAGAAAATATGATTACTTTCAAAATCTGATACATTTTTTGGTTTGTTTATAGTTTTTTTTAATGTTTTTATCCAAACTAGGATTTTAAGAGTGGGCTTGGTATTACCATAATTCCTATGAATGTAGCAAATGTAAAGCAAGTGGACCGAACTGTGAAACAGTCTTTTGAAATAATCACTCCCTATAGGAGTTTCAGGTAAGCTGTTTTTAAAAACTTGGTGTTTGTACTTTATAGGAAAGCTTAAGAAATCCACCTTTATATTGCTAGTGGTGATTTTGTCTCTTATAGGACACTTAAAATTATCTTTTTACTTTTCCATATTGTCTAATTGATTAGGCAATATATGAAATACCTTGTAAAAGTGACTCAAATAATAATACAACCTCAAAGATATTTATTTCATGAAATTTGAGTAGTTTCTTTTTTCTTTTTTTTTTTT